CTCATTTTACAACTGAGAAAACAGAAGCCCAGAGAGATCAAGTGATGTGCCCTGATTCAGAGGTCAAAGGGCTGTACTTGAGGACCTACAGGGCCACGTGTGGCCTTGAGGCCACAGGTTCCCCATCTCTGAAGCCCTTTCTTATCATTTTTCCTACCATGGTGATCAATTTGGTGACCTACTTCCTGGACTACTTCAACCTTTCTCAAGATTCTCCATTTAGCTGTCAATCAAATATTAACTGAGCAACTATTATGTGCTTACTTATATAGGCAGCTAGGTGGTCCAGATCTGGAGTCAGGAAGACCTGAACTCAAATTCCACTTCATATACTTACTAGCTACAAGAATCTTAGGCAAATCAGTTAATCTCTGCCTTACTCAGTTTCCTCACCTATAAAATGGGAATGATGATAGAATTTAATTCCCAGGGATGTTGTGAGGAGAGGTTGAGATAATATTTATAAAATACCTCAAAACCATTAAAATGCTATATAAATGTTACTTATTTTCTTTATTTTTATTATAGCTATCTGTATTTTTATCTTATTTCTTACTAGACTTTAAATTCCTTGAGGATAGGGACTGTTTTATCTAAATTTTGTATCTTAGTTAGCAGCTAACAATATGATTTTTCCAGAGGAGGCAGTAGCAAATCTTGAAATAAAGAAGCATGCATTAATATGTAATTAATCATATATGATCAATACATAATTAATGTAATATATATAAGAGAAATAGGAGATCCTTGCCTCCAAGGAATTTACAGTCTTTTCAAAGAAATTAAACTCAAAAGCCAATTAAAAAGAAAAATAGAGAATGATCAAGATATTAGGTAATTGAGCAAAATTAAATATAAATAAGTTCCTAAAATGTAAGGTCCAGATAATATCTTCTCTGGGTAATCAAGAAAAGACACTGTATTTTTTTGGCTAAGTTTCGTCAGGAATGTATAAGGAGAACTGGAAATGGGTGTTGATGAATTGGTAGGGTTTAGGGAGTTTCCAATAGCATAAGCAAATACTTAGAGGTACGAATGGGCATGCCATTCTCAATGGATGGTAAAACTGGCCTGGTTGTCATAGTAAAAGTATTTTTGGGGGAGTGGTGGGAGATAAGGATGGATGGGTGGGCAGGGCTAGATAATGGAGACCCTTGAATTACTGGGAAGGAATATGGCCATAATTTGCTGGGTAATGGAAGCCATGGCAGGTTTTTGAGCAGGATAGTGACTTCTGTACCAATGTTTGTCACTTTACCAGTTCTAACCAGTCAGTCAGTCAGTCAGCATTTATTGTGGATTTGTTATGTGTCAGGTACTGTGCTAAGTGCTGGGAGTACAAAGAAAGGAAAATAGAAAGTTCCTGCCCTCAAGAAGCTCAAATTCTAATAGGGAACACAAGATACAAAAAAAATTGTACATACAAGATATATACACTGTAAATGGAAGGTAATCCCAGAGAGAAATCACAAACAGTGATATTGGTAGTTGTGGGGAGACCAAGAAAAGTTTCCTACAAAGTGTTGGGTTTAGTTGAGTTCTGAAGGAAGCTAGGGAAGCCAGGAGGTGAAAATAAAGAAGGAAAACATCCTGGGTATGAAAGATATCCAGTGAAAAGGCATGGATGCAATCAGGAAGTGAAGTGTCTTGTTCAAATAACAGCAAGAAGGCCAGTAAAGCGAATTTATAGAGTACAAGGAAGGGAGTAAAATGTAAGATTGTTGCTAGGTGGCACAGTGGATAGAGTTCTGGGCCTGGAGTCAGAGAGACTCATCTTCTGGAGTTCAAATCTAGCCTCAGACACTCACTAGCTGTGTGACCCTGAGCAAGTTATTTAACCTTGTTTTCCTCAGTTTCTTCATCTGTAAAATGAGCCAGAGAAGGGAATGGCAAACCACTATAGTATCTTTGCCAAGAAAACCCCAAATGGGGTCACAAAGAGTCAGACACAACTGAATAAAATATAAGAAGGCTAGAAAAGTAGGAAGGAACCATGTTATAGAAGGATTTACAAGCCAAAAAGAAAACTTTCTATTTGATCTTGGAGGTAGAAGTGAGCTATTGTATAGGGGAGTGACATGGTCAGACCAATATAGTCTCCATTTTTTTTTTGTATTGACTATATATTTATTCTTTATAAAGTTCTGTGATGGTTCTTAGTTCTGATTCATAGAACCAAAATATCACTTGCTTCCAAGTCTATCACTAGGCTTCTTAGGTCACCTCATTTCCTTTATTTCTTCTTATTTTTCTCCCTCTGGTCCTCTCAGACAATTCATTGCCACTTTCATTGCTTCAACCTATAACCAAGTTGTCTTTTCTCAACTTGTTCAGTATTCCTGGAAAGCTCTCTTTACCCCCAGCCCTACCCAGTTCACCAACCTGGCTTTTTGCAAGCATTCAGATTAGGCTGCTCCATATACTGAAGTCCTGTTGATATGTCTCTCCTACTCAAGACTCATGGCTTTTTCTCTTCATCACTCTTCGTTACTCTCTTATCAAGTCCTTATAACACCTTTGAAAAGTGTAACATTCAGAATGTGTACCCAGAAGAATATGGATCGTGAGGCTTTGAAGTTGAATCTAGAGGACAAATTAAAACAGTGGATAAAGATCCTTACAGATCCTTACAGATGTCTTCTTCAGGAAACACATTGTATTTGGGATGTTGTCATCTCTTAAAAATGTTGACATATATTAAAAATATTATTCTTATGTTTCTGTGAATTCAGTCCAGGAAATTGAGAACATCTGCTTGGTATGTGACAATTGTCTGGTTATTCTGCAGTTTATTGGCTAAATTCACCAGGATGTTTTAAGGTCTATATCTATAATCTGAGGATTTGTTGTTTGTCAGTCCATTAAAAATTTCTGATTTGTGATTCCAGCTGCCAGGTCACATTTTGCTAGGTAAGTGCTCAGTTTTATAGCCTACAGTGATATGTTCACCATTGTCTTTACCATTTCCTTGTGTCATCTGATTTGATCACTAAGGCAAAGGTCTTCAAGAATAACATTGCTTTAGTTTCTTGCATCCAATATCTTGGTCCTGAATTATAATCATAAGCCCCTCCCTTTCCACGAACAAATCCATGTTACTTCACAATTTGTTTAAGGTCCTCTGGCCAAGTTCATTCCATTCTTGATTCTTAGTCATTCATGAAGTAAGCCACTTTCAATAAATATTCAACAAATCCAATGGTGAAGTGATGTCTTCTTATTCAAAAACTATTTTGGTAGGTTTTTGACCTGTTTCTCATTTGTTCTAAGTATGCTCATCAATTCTCTCACTTTTTTTGGTAAAGAGGTATTAATTGTTTTTTTATAGTTGCTTTACATGATAGGACTTATGTTTTGTAAATACTATTTAGTGTTTTGTTAGGGTATTTTCCAAATCTGTTTTCATTCATTTTATAATTAAAAAATTGTATATTGATTGATATATATCAATACCTATCTATATATATAAAATTGATATTGTCTAGGCATTAATGATCTAAAATGTATTCTTCCCATTCAGCTTTGACTTCAGAATGACACAATGTCTCGACATTTTTAGCCATAACTTTCGACTTGATATCTTTGTGCTCAATATCTGTTTCCTGGAGAAGAATAAAGTATTTTTAGTTATCACTTTCATTCATTTGTTCAATGTGACCTCTGGATTCATGTTAGAATCCTTTAGTCTTTATATTTCCTTTGAATAAATGAAGAATTTTCTACTTAAGACCAAATGCCATTTTGATACTATTGGAGAAAGATTCCACAAGATGAAAGAAATATATATATATATATATATATAATATATATATATATATATATATATATACATATATATGTATTGGATGAAGTCATATAGCTTGGAATCATTCATATGTATCACATGATTAATAAGATACAGTTTCAACTGCTTTCATATGAAGCCAATTATTTCTGCTTATAAGAGATGATAATAGGTTTAAGGCTAGGCAGAACCATAATAGGCTTACATTTTCCCTGAAAAATGCCACATTTTATGTGAATAATGTTCTTGACATTATTATGTTGATGGCAGGGTTTGAGAATAGTTTTCTATCTGGACATTAAATACTCTAGCATTCTCACTTTACTTGTGTCAGTTTTAGATATTTTTAGTATGTAAATAAGCTATGAGTATAGAACTGGGCAAGAGGCAATGTTTAACAGAGGTATTATGTATGTTAAGCTCCTTTCAGGCAGCTTGTTCAATAACATTATTATTATTATTGTTATTATTACCTTCCAATGTATTGTTCCCAATGCGATAACTTGCTTCCTACCTTTGACAAAGTGTTTATGGTCTTTGGAAATTCAAATGAGTGAGCATAGTTTACTTCATGACTTTAGTAGTAGGAAGATAACTTAGTTAAAATAATAGGAAAACTTAAAATGGATCATGTATTCTTCTTCTACTGGGATGTTTTGAGGTGCTCTCCTTCCCTCTCTCCCCCCTGCCCTCATCTTTCTCTTTCATGTCATTATTACAAACCTATGAAAATAGAGGAAATAGCAAGAAAAGTTTATGAATGGATTCCAACCTCCTGACCCAGCCCTCTTTCTAACTGGAACCACGTACTGACCCTTCTCATTTAGACACTCTTTTTACTTAGGGCAAACATGGTTCTCCCCAAAACTACTCATCTCAGAGCGTCTCTCTATGCTGCTATGTAGTCAACAATACCTAGGCTACTGGGTGGTAAATCTACATGGTGACTTAAGACAAATGTGGAAAATTCTGAGTCTGATTATTAATATACCTTAAATTCACATTAGCTTTCTTTAATTTCAGAGTGCAATTTGATATACAACACTTGATCCAAAGAGATTACATTACTAAAACAATCAAAAGACCTCATAATTAGGCTCTCTCGCCTGTAAGACAGTCTCATGGCATGAAAGTCCTAAGATAGAGTTATATAATGTGATACTGACAGTTGGATATATGTGTATTTTTGGACCAATTTTTAGGCAATAGGAGCTACATCAGAAATATGTACTTGGAGAACAAAGATGGAGGAGTCATTTCCAGAGAGCTAGAAATGGAATTAAATCAAACATCAGCTCCAGCTCATGCAAATGTACATGGACATACGGGAGCTGAACCAATTACTGGCAACTTTAATGAGCTGAGGTTGCTGAAGGAGTTCTGCAGGATAGCAGCTGTTCAAGGGGAGTCCCAGAAATCTTCTCCCCGTGGAACGGAAGAGGACGACTGCTGTATTGCTTTGGATGATGGCTTTGGCCCACTCCTAATGCAAGAGAGGTGAGTTAAAAAGCCAACTAATTCTGTTTCATCTAGCAGAGATTGTTTTTGTTGGCAAGATTGATACATATTGTGTTTTAGTTGATACCCTCTGGGACATCATGCACTTGGCTGGAATCTTCCAAGAAATTTTGTGACAGTCTTAAATGCTTTTGTAGGATGACTAGCTCAGCAGACTTGCCCAATACTAACTTCCATAGCAGTCCTGTGTAGGGTTTCTTTACTTTCCAGAAGTGCAGTTTAGTGTTTGTTTAATCATTGTTGGCTTAAAAAAATTAAATTGAGCCACCCTTCGATCAAGAGGACAGAGAGGAGATTAAAGCCAACCTAGATTAGGAAAACAGAAAAAACATTATGATTAATAAAAACCAACGTTAGTATTAATAAAGAGAAGCAGCAGTATGTGGTAGATAGAGAGCCTTCCTCATTATCAAGATCCAAGTTGTTGATGTGACCTCTGACACCTACTGGCTCTGTGATCCTAGGGCAAGTCACTTCACCTTTTGGTGCACCAGACAATTCTCTAATGTTTTAAATTACAGAATAGTTGATAACCTGCATTATTAGAACACCAATGCAATTCCAGGTCTGTACCCTTCAATCTTTTGTTTCTTCTGTCCTCCTTTCTTTCCTTCCTTTACATCTCTTTCCCTCCCTCCCCCTTTTCCTCTCTTCCTCCACTTTTTCCCTTTCTCCTTCCTTTCCCTTTCCCCCCTTCCCTTCCTTTCCCTTTCCCCCCTTCCCTTCCCTTTCTTTCCTTTCCTCCCTCCCTCTCTTCTTTCCTTCTTCTCTTCCTCTCTCCCTTCTTTTTCCCTCCCTCCTTTCCTCCCTCCCTTCCTTTATCTCTCCTTCCTGCTCAGAAATGACAGGGAGTTCAGAGATCATTGAATCCAAACTTTTCATGATTAGAAATGCCTTGTAAAAGGTTATACCATGCAGCTTTTCTTGTATTTAATATTCTACGTATATGTTAATCCTCATGATAGAATGCAGACTCCTTAAAGGTAGGCCTCACATAGCAGGCGCTTAATAAAATACTTGTTGAATTTAATCAAATCACAAATTATCAGGTCAACTCTGAAATTATGCACCATAGCCCATGAACCTTTAGTAACTCTAGTAGAACATACGGATACTTTATAAAATTTCACTAATCCAGATTTGATGGGAGTCTAAATGCTTCATTCCCTCTGAAATGTCAGGATCTTACTGTAAGGGGATTCAATTGCTTTTCTAATCAAAGACTCAGGAAATGAAAGATTTCTTCCAATCTTCCCTATCTAGCACAATGTTTAAACAGAATAGGCTCTCAAATGGTTGTGGAACGGCTGATTTTAATTCAACCAGCACATCTGATGGCACATTCTCATATGTTACAGAATGCATGTATTTCTTTGACCTAGAATGTTTATCGATATTATTTTTGATTAACCCATAAGTACTTACACAGTAATATGCTTTTCTGGAAGTCTGGGGTGCAGAGGGCTGGTGGGAAATGTGCTGGTACAGGTGGAGATAAGTGGGGCATTCATGGCAGGAAGACGGCAAGATGGTCTGGGTGGTTGACTGAATAAAATGGGAAGGTGAATCATTATCTTAGGTCTGCGGCCAACTAGATATTGTAGGCTAGGTGATGAAGTTTTTTGGTTCTTTGGGATTAGATGTCTGAAATGGTTGTATAATATCCTTATGATAATTGTCTACAATTGTTGTATAATATGGATAAAATAATGGCCAGTTAGTCACTTATAGCCAAAGAGCGTGTTGTTGCAGAACGTTACAAAAGGTTGCTGTAAGAACATTCTGGTGGTCTTACTCTGAAAGTAGCTATGATCACAGCACACCTGAGGCCTTTGTACTTCACCAGCTGCAATTACTTCTTGCATAGGATGTAGTGTAAAGAGCTCTTGACTTGCAGTCAGAAAACCGGTTCAAATCTTGGCTCTACTACTTAGTATTTTTCTTATTTGTAAATAAAAAAGGTTGGATTAAATGATTTCTATGGCCCCTTCTATCCTTAACATTCTGGTATTTTGTGACCTGTAGGTCTATGCCTACTTACCCTTAACAGAAGGCATAAAGAGGCCAGAGGTCAAAATAATATTGCCCTAGTCAATAATGACTAGGTGCCCTAGGAACATGCTTATTTCCACATTCTTCAGGTTGCTGACTGGCCTCATTTCACTCTTCTGGGCTCTCTGGATTCCAGACTTTTGCTTACCTTGCCAACTGAGACCCAGTTGCTTGACAACTCTGTTTGGACATCTTTCTTGCAGAATTTTTCCTGGCTTCTGGAAAATGATGCCTCAGACTCCCTCATCTTTTCCTTAACTCTCAGTTCTGAGAACTTTGTTCATTTCTTTTCTTTGGATAACACAGATAACAGGGACTCCCAAGAAGCCAGATGTTGACCTCCTGATCCCCATACTCTTGACTCAAACATCAAAGCTTTTACCTTTGATACTGTAGCCCTACTGCCTTGCTCTTTTAGTTTTTGGAACCTGGAAACTTTTGAACCTGGAAACTCCCAAAGCCATAAGCCCCTTATGTTAGATTTGAAGAATGCTTCCAAAAGGCATCAACTATACATAGAATTGATGAGGACTCATAGCTCTTCAGAACTGCTTATTATCCCATGGGTTATTTAGGAAGGCTCAGGATAGATCCTTGATGCTTGTGGTGGGTGGGTGTAGAGTCAAGCAGAATGATTTGAAAGAATCTTGAATGAGTTAGGAGGAGTGAACTGGGGAGTCTAGGCTAACAAGAGTGTGCCTGAGTATGGAGGAAAAGCTGATGTGAAGGAGCGTGGAGTGAGTGGGCAGGTATGGAGACTGGCCTGCCAGATTTGTGCATTTAGCCCTGTAGACTGTATGCCTGTCTTTGGGTTCTAGTGCCCTTCTTTACAAGATGAGTTCTAGGGAAACATTGATGAAGAGCAACAACAACTAGGTTGATCTTGTAGAATTTATATGAACCAGCATTTCTTGAGATTTCTTTATTACTTGTATGGGAAAAGAGAGTATAAGCAGATCCATACACAGTAATCAGTAACGTGAGGGTCCTGGCTCAAGACTTCTGCCTACAATTTAACTCTGACCCTTGCTCCACAGTTTGACTAGCCAGACCCCTGTTGCCTTTCACATCCTGCTGTGATAGTTCTGTTGACAAATGTAAAAATGTTTTCTGTCCATAAAACAGGAATAATGCATAATTAACAAAGTTGCCAGTTTCCAGATTCAATTAAACTCAGCAACATTCATTATCATTAAGATTGAATAAATTGTTTTATCCTTTGCCGGTCTCTCTCTTTTTTTAAAGTAAGCGACTAGGTTTTACATATTTTTTTAAAAAAATTTTTTGCTTAGCTAAGTGTGGGATAATTTTGAAACTAAAATAGGAGACAAATGTTGAATTGATGAACTTTTTATCTTAAAATAGCACTCATGTACTGATGGATGTAGTTAGAAAAATAATTGGTTGTCAGATTGACAAATTTAAATTATATATTTATTCTCGGGTTAGATTGTTGAGTATGAAGTATCCCCCTCCCAATCCCTTCCCCTCCATTCTCCCCTCCAAATCCAAGGAAAATTGTGATTGGTTTCTCTTATTGTTTTCCTAAAGAAGGATCTAATTGTTCTTTATATTTAGTATTTTTAAATTAGCAAATTGTTTTTTGAGTTTTTCCTGTCAGCAACAGTATGTTTGGCAGGGGTGGGGGTGGAAGCTGAGGAGGAGAAAAAGGATGTTTGATAGGAAAGAAAATAAGTAGAGTGAGTTATTTCAAGATAACTTTTCTTTGCTATCCTAAGCAAAGCACCTCAGTCATCATAGAGGAAAGAGGGCATAGGGTTTTGCTATTGTTTTTCTTTTCATTGTCATCTCCCCCTTCCACTTTAAGATTGGGCTTCTCTATACATTGAATGGGGCAGGTAGGTAGTACAGTGAATAGAGGGCCAGGCCTGGAATCAGGAAGAGCTGAGTTCAAATCCAGCCTGAGATGCTTACTAGCTGTGTGACCCTAGGCAAGTCACTTAACCCTGTTTGCCTCAGTTTCCTCATCTGTAAAATGAGCTGGAGAAGGAAATGGCAAATCACTCCAGTGTCTCAGCCAAGAAAATCCCAAAAGGGGTCATGAAGTTGGGCCTTCTCCTCTCTGTTTGTATTTATTCTTTCCTCATCACATCTTGCTGGTTCTAGTTTAAGATTTCGGCCCTTGCTTTCTTTTAGTCGCTTCTTCCTCAGCCTGTTCATCTGTTATTCCTTGCCTGTTGCAGTTACCCATCTATCTCCTTTTCTGGTCATAAAGTAGTGAGGTAGTACAGTGGATGGAGCACCGGGCTTGGAGTCAGCAAGACCCAAGCTCAAATCTGGCCTCAGGCACTTCTGATCCCAGACAAGTCACCTAACCTCTGTATACCTCAGTTTTTTCACCTGTAAATCGGGGATAATAACAGCACCTACCTCATAGGGTTATTATGAAGATCAAATGAGATACTATTTGTAAAGCACAGTGATTGGCTCATAGCAGGTGCTTAATAAATGCTTGTTCCTTTCCTCTTTCCCTTCATATACCTCCTCCATGATATCCCTCATATGCATTCTTGAGTTTAGATAATCATTGGAAATAGGCTGCTGCATCCACTATGCATCCTTTATCCTTTGGGTCACCTACAACTTTAGTTCCTTTGAAATTGTGCAAATCCAAAATTCACAACTATTGTGTACTATTGGAAGAGCATTTGTGATGAAAAGATAGGTGCTTGTACCAGAGAGCAACTCATGATCTATAAAAAGTACTACGTAGTTTTCCAAATGAAATCTATTTTGCTCTCTTCCTGTTAATCAATTCTGAGCCAATTCATTAACTATAGAGCTCACCCCAACTATACATGCTATGACACTAACTCAAAATATTGGATAATTAACTATTTTTTCATCATCTCAACAATAGTTATTTTTTAATCCATTCAGTTTTTCCTGCATGGATTTTAGGCAGA